ATATATATATATATATATATATATATATATATATATATATATATATATGCATACTCTGGGACCCACATTCCTGGATTTGAAATTTGGGAAATTTTATTTTAAAATGTTATGAAAAATTATTATAAATCAATTAATGGCATGATGCAAAACATCACAAAACATTTCGTGTGTTGATGTTTGACTGTGCTACAAAGTTCAAGATGGACTATTCCCAAGCAGATACATCACTGTATATATTTCCTAAAAATATCAATGAAATGATGTCTTTTTGCTACTATAAATTAAAATGTGCACATATTATATTAGGCTATGAAATGCTATAAATCAAAATGCACAAAGATGGATCATTTTGACCTGAATTAAGAATGGAGAGATTCTGATATATTGAATTCTGCTATGATGCTTTTAATCAATTCAATTTCCAGTTCTACTAAACCATAACAAGAACAATTTGATATATGTATATTTTCTTTTCATGTTTGAAAAGCTTTCCTTTTATTTTTAATATTAAATCAACTTGTCCTAAACTGCATACCTAAACCAATTTTCTCATAATTTAATCAGTGGGTTCGGATTATTATTTCAGTAAATCACGACATCTTAGCATGGTTAGCTTTCTTTGCATTCTGAGTTGAGCCATTGTGATATGTAGAGCAGAATACAATAGCTCTTTCAACAAACCAACTTACTCATTGCTTAATAAAAAACATAATGGATATTAATTCCTGAGAAAAAACAATGATTTTATAAGAAAACAATTGTATAAAAAAGGAAATTATTTTAAAGGTTCTTAAAACTAGACTGTATTAACATAGGTAAAAAACATGGAACTTGTGCTTACCCAACACACTAACAAATGCATTGGCTAACAGGTACCCATGTTCATTAGAAGCGTTGCATTGATATACACCACTGCTGCCACTCTGGATGTCCCGAAACATAACAGTGTCTCCATTAACTTCACGGCTGGGATTGGGAGCAGAACCTTGGAGTCAGACGGACATAAATTAAGATATATCTTTTATTTCGTTTTGTTATAATTTATATCAAATGAACACCATAAAATCATTGAAAATTAAGCAATCAATCTTATTTGAGGTGAAGAAATAATGGATGGAACTTCTCTCTTGACCTGGGCATTCCTATTATTAAATAATGAGAATGAGAAGCAGCCTCAATGATAGACCATAGAGTTCCAGTCATGTTGGTCCATAGAACACTTTATTTTTCAATCATTTGATATAAATGTATATATTATATTTCTGTTTAACGTTTATTTCAATATGTCTTTGTATCTATGGTCTATCATTGAGGCTGTATATCTAAGAAGGAAATATCCATTATATTGAGAGTAAAACAAATTATCCTGAATTATGTTAGTACAAATAATATACTAACAAACTTCACTACAAGCAGGAAAACTCTTATTGTTTCTTTTTTACTAATTGCAAGGGGCTCAGTATGAATCAATTTCTTTCATTTTAATTACTTACAGGTAGCATTAGCAATAACGTTTATACATATTCTGCTTCATAGTGCTTTATAGCCCTCTCTAAGTGGTTTACAGAGCCAGCATATTGCCCCTGACAATCTGGGTCCTCGTTTTACCAACCTTGGAAAGATGGAAGGCCAAGTCAACCTTGAGCCGGTCAGAATCGAACTCCTGGCAGTGAGCAGAGTTAGCCTGCAATACTGCATTCTAACCACTGAGCCACCAGGGGTCTTTTAGGCAAGTAGTCCTCAACTTTTGATCATAATGGACTGGGAATTTATGTCATCAGGCAGTACAGTCGTAAATCAAGGCACCCACATAATTAACCTGATTTGATTACCTCTTTTTGCAGCACTCATTAAATGAATGTGGCAGTTGTAAAATGAATACTCCAACTTGTTAAGTGAATCCCATGGTTGTTACAGGTGTCCATTCATTCCAAAAAAGCCAGAAAGTAGCAAAAAAAACCTTTGTGAATCATAGTAGTCATGTGACTGCGGAATTTGCAAGATGAGCTTGTTGCCAAATGTCCAGAATTGAATTGTAAGCTGTTTTGGGGGGACTTGGTTGTAATTTTGAATGATCGCTAAGCGATCAGTTGTTAAAGGACTACCTGTACCTAGTTTTGGTTTGGTTAAACATTCCATGACTATTCCTTTTGATCTCATCCTTAAAGCATCACACAATTATACTTATACCACATAATCAATCTAGAGACTCTTGACTACTGCTGTTGCATGAATCAACTGTTCCTCATTTTTTTGAAAAATGGGTAATAATAATAATAATAATAATAATAATAATAATAATTATTAATAATAATAATAATAATAATAATAATAATAATAATAATGAGGCCTTTTAAAGACAACTAAGTCAAAAGCTGAATATAAGAAAGAAGTAATTGAAAAGTGAGCTGAAAATTGGAAAAACAAAGCTATGCATAGCCAATACTTGAAAAGTATTGAAGGCAAAGCTGATCAAAAGCTAACTTGGAACTGGTTAAGATCAGGAGTACTGAAAAAAGAAACATAAGGCTTTATTTTGGCAGTTCAAGAACAAGCCTTAGCCACAAACTACATGAAGGCAAAAATTCAACATGTTACCACCAACAGCAAATGTCGCCTCTGTAATGAGAGACAGTCGACCACTTGATCAGAGGATG